CATGTCATAATACAGGAAGTGCTCCATTGTGTTTGTAAACTTCATGCACCTTCACTAGAATCATTTGGATGATTTCAGACCCGGCCTACCTTTATTGAACGGTATAAGGTAGCTATTATAAACCTATGAATGACTACCAATTCATGACATCACAAGGTGGAACAGAGCAAAGTTACTCAAACATGTGTACGAATGAAACAACGCAATGTTTTTGATGAGGTAACAACATTCTAGCATGGCTAAAATGCTGGATGTTTATAAACTTATGTCCGATTACATTTAGAATTTTGAATCAACACATTTTAATCTCTCTAGTTTTAATCTCTCCTCCAGCATTATATCAAACTTCTTTCATATTTATGTAATAATTCTTACACTCTCCCAGCCATGTTTCAAATGTATTTAGTGAATTGGTGCCCAAAATGATCCAGACAGCTGATTTGGCAGGCCGACCTAAAATGGAGCTTGTTAAAAGAGCCAATCTCATCTGTACGTGTTCCCCTGCACTTTCTCCCCATCTCCATCCCTTCATCCCTCAGCGCTGGAGTGGTCAGGCCTATCAACCACAGCGGCTCAGTCTATCACCTGGGAGCCCCAATTGCCTGTCAGTCATCAGATAAAATGGATTTCCAATTGAGTCAAGGCTCCCAAGCTGCGGCAGGCCGAATAGAGAACAGGCAGAGCGGCGCTGCTCCTCTCCGCTCTCAGTACTTGGTGTTTGTTATTTGTTTTTCTCCTACTGTGTCGCCCTCCGCCCCTCCCCTCGGCCGGGCTCATGTGATCCGTATGAAGTGAAAATAGGCTGCTTGTAAAAGCCCACATACCCATGTGCCATCGTGGAGTCAGTGTCAGCGCAGCCAGTGACTGCTTTAATACAGGGTGGACCTCCAATTAGAACAACAGGAGGTCCAGCTATTAGTGAGGAAGCTGCTGAGTCGAAAACACTCATTTTAATGATGAGTAAATACAGTTGGTGGCGTTTTTGCAAAATATTCCTGGTTTTAGTTTGAATTAGAAAAAGTTTGAATTTGGAAAATATTTCTACATCTCAGAATCACCAACTCTTTTTGACAGTTATTCTGTGTGTTTCTTTTAGGCCATCTTTTTAAAAATGTGTCTCTTCTTCATGGAAGGGTCCAGTTTGTTTAATGGTATCATTTGAATTGGAGAGTCCAAAGTAGACTGTGCATATTCTAGACTGCCCTTTGTTCTATCCAGGCCAAGACACACCTGTGAAGTAAACAGGCCATTTATCAACATGCTCATGTCTCTCTCACTCCTGGTGCCAGAGCAAATGTCCAGGTGTTCCAACCCATGTTAGGTTCCAGACCAAACTTTTCCAGACAATATTGGTTTGCAGTTTTTCCTGTTTCTTCTTTTGTCATTTTTGAAAACAATGTGGTGTTATTGGGGAAAGCTCTAACTTCTGTGCGCTTTTGAAAGAAGGCATTAGCTGGATTGTTTGTGACCACAGACTTGAAGAGCAAGAATTCTGGTGATACATTAGTGACCTGCATCATATTTGCTTCACCTCTTCTGCCTGGTCAATAGCAAATATATTCAAATTGAAATGTAAAATGTAAGTACAAATGTCCAGTAGATTGTCTTTATTGGTTGTCATGACAGCAGTAATGGTGGCTCTGAACAAACATTTCAGAAGGCTGGAGCTGAAGGGGGTGGGGGTTTATTGATCATTCGCTAGTCTCTGTGTGGTTTTAATAGTTGGGATTTCACAGTCAGACCATCCTCCTCAGGGCTCACAGCTCATTATATGTCCTATACATGAGAAAAGTGTCACCTTATCTTGCTATCTGCAAAACTGGAACTGTAGCCCTCCAGAAACAGGATCAGTCAGAAGGTTTGATACTAATGAACACCAGTGGAATGGAGAGGAAATCAACACCATGACGGACACATTTTATCCTATACAAGATTATAAACATTAAAAAGAACAGTGTGACAGGACTGGACTTGACTGTTTTGTGTGTGTGATGAGTGTGGGGAGAGGGGTGGGTTTGCAGGAGGATTTTATTTTTATTTTATCTTTTTATTTTGTTTTCATTTTCGTAAAATTTAACTTTGAAAAAGAAAGAAAGAAACAACCAAATGTATTAATGTATGTATTACTATAATAACAGTATACAAAAAAATAATTACTATTCACTATTTAGAAAACCATTTTTTTTCAGCAAGTTAATCATATTGTGAATCCTGTAGTTGTGTTAGCATATTTTACTGAAGAAACATCAAATAATAAACACTGAAGATGGAGGATCTCTTTTAGCGTACACTCTTAAATACTTTTTAGAATACTGTATTGAAACTCAGACACCTGGACTTCACACCTGGCAGGTGAGATGAGATTGTGATGTTGATAAACGCCACAGTTATTTCAAAGTGGGCTCAGGCTGGTTACAATTAAAGCTACTCACAATGGAACAGATGGCCCATGCTTTAAATAGCAAGGGGAATTTATTCTTTTACAGTTTATTCACAGTCTTCTAGTGTATTCTCATCATCTCCTCACTATGGACCCTCCTGCTCACCCACTGCACCAGACTCTATAGGGACAGAGGAGCTCATTGTCCAATAGGCTCCTACAGCTCTGCTCAAACAGTGAGAGATACAGGACTACATTCATACCATACTCCATACAACTGTACAACAAATCAACCTTATGTATTACATTACCGTCTGTCATGTCAATCACTATTTCAGCTTTGCACTTTGTTTCTCTTTACGACCTTTTGTGTATAGCTGAGATATATTCGTATTACTATATTTCTTTATTTTTGTATTTTTACTTATACATTTTATATAATTATGCCATATTTGACATTGGTCTCTTGTTATTTTTGCGACTTATTTTGAATACTTTGAATACTTGAACTTTGATATTATAATATTTGTGATGTGTGAATCACTGTGTCCTAATAATGTCCCTTGTGAATCAGTAAAATTTGTCTAAGTAAGTAAGTTGTCTATATTAATTCATATCAGTTCACATCATAGATCAATCAGATGTTACATTTGTCTTGCCTGTCTCATTAGATAATGTTAATACTACCCCCTGGCTATCATCAAATGAACTGTAGCTCGAAGTCATTCAGTTCAGTATCATTTCAAATAAAGAGGATCGCAACAGTCATTGACGTGGAAGGTCAATCTTTCTGCATTGATTCCTGTAGTGTCCCCTTTCATTACAGTATAGTTCAATAAACCCCTGGATCAATGTCAAGTCACCTACTGTAGTACATTGATTAGCGTCTTAGACTGAAGCATGAAACTATATTAATCTAGATTGGTTATTTTAGGATTAGATGATTGCTACGGTGTTGAGATGTTGGTTGACGTGAATTGGTTTATGAAGTGTTATCACGGTTTGTGAACAAAGAAAATGTCTCATTGGATCAAATGCATGTTTCAGTGCTTTAACCACTCTTTATTGTGCTCTGGTGCATACTGTTGTTTAGAGTATGCAAAAAATGGACAATGAAAGGATAGCTACTTCAGTTAAAAGTGCACTGCGCAGCATTTCTAGTGAACAGTCCACCACCTGTTTGTCTTCATGGAAATATGATTAGTTTGATTAGAATGTTCCACAGTTCAGAGACGAATCCTGCACAGGTTCAACATTTTTGGAGACCTGCACCCTTGCAATATAGCAACGCAACTGCCCGATTACCTGTGATTATATCAAAGTTAAACACGCACCCGTCCGGCCCCGTTAACATTTCACCTGTTACCCATTCATGCCCATGATAAATCACACACAGACTAAAAGCTTTCTAACTGAAGCATCCATCAGAATACAAATTGAAAAGCTACAACTTTAAGAATTATAATCACAAAATGAAATGAAATGGTTACGCTTTCTTCAGTTCGAATACGAATTCACAGACGCAACGCGACTGTCATCACTTCACAGGCATTACGGACCAACCCAGGACCAACCCAGGACTAACCCAGGACTAACCTAGGACTGATTCCAGGACTAAACCAGGACTAAACCAGAACTGAACCAGGACTCACCGTCGAGATGGGCTCGGAGCTGAGCCCGCGTAAACCGTTGGGTGACCACAGGTGAAAGGACCAGCATAGAACTCTGCACCCCACGGAGTAAGCGCAGTCGTCGCCCGATCGTGTTTGTGGACACCCTGCTCCCTGTGCTCTGGGTTCTCTCGAGCTTAAATTGCAACGGTATTTTACTTTTTCATACACTACATTACAATTAAAATCTGTGAAGAGTAAATGGTAGATGGATATGTTTAATGTCATACCATGGAGACAAGTAGGTAGCGAACCCTTCACCAGAAAAGTTACGCAGTGCATCTTTAATCAAAAAAAAAAAAAAAACAATAAAAATGTATGAGAGTCAACATGAATTCTTCTGTTTGTTCAGTACTTCTATGGTGTATTTGAGTATTTGAAATATGTCCTTCACAATAAAAAAAATCATTTATTTTTGTGATTAAATTTTTTAAAGAAACATGCTTTTGTCCGATAACTTAAAAAACATTTTTGTAAAACCCCATTCTGGATTTATTTTCTTTGTTGGTCGCTCAAGGTTTTACTTTGTATGAACTTTTGGATTAATTTAGATGCTAATCAGTGAGGGACTGTGCTAAATTTTTATCTCTGGGTTCTGTAGAGCTACGTTTTAATGTTTGAAGATAAAGTCCGATCAAAAGCACTGCCCAACAGACAGTAAGTCCATTTACCACAGGAACAAAGTAGACCCTATGTGACAGCAAAGTTGAGGGGAGGATCCTCTTGTGCTTCGGTTCCAGCGTTTTAAATCAATGTCCAAACATCCATGCACCTTTGTTGACCTAAGTAACATCATTACTGAAATAATGTCCTCTTTTCTCATCCCTGACCTTTCAGCTGGTCATTTACAGCTTGGAACACAGTCAGTAGCTGCATCTAAGAGCACCACAAAGGTCAATGGGCGGCACCAAAACTCACGTCCATAAACTTTCTGTTTTTCTCTTTTTCAGAACTTGATGGTCAACCATGGATGAAGACAGAAGATGTGATTGTGTGCAGCTATTTTTCATGTATGCACTAAGAAATATTGTAGTGTCATATCTTGGTTTGCTGCTTGGTTTAAAAAAAAAACATATTCAAATGCTCTTACTTTTGCACTGCCATAATATTTTTTTCTGAGATTGTATTGCGTCCACAGCTTTTATTTTGACACACTGACAATGAAGCATTTCAACAGCTATTTCAATAGCTTACATTCAGGGTCAGTCTATATAATACTCAGTTTGCGTCCAATATTTTGCTACTTATTCAACTAATAATGTAGGCTTGGATGAAGAGTAGTTTGAAAAGGAAGTGATTGCGTTTTCTTGCCGTACTGAATATTGGTTTTGTATTTTATAAGCTCAGGTATGTCCTGGCCATGACTCATCCAACATGTCAAGGTAAAAAATAAATGATTTTCTTTGTACTTTATGTGTTCTGTGAAATTTGTCTGTACTAACAAGCCAAACTCAATATGTTTTTACAGTGGGTACATTTAGAGATCAGATAACCCAATAATAGACAGGAAATAAATCTGACTCTTGGTGTAGGATTAACGGTCATATATTACCCTATCTTATAATGTCTCCTCACTAGAAACACACTCAGAGTTTGTTTTGTTTCATTCACACATTTTACACCAAAACCCTGCAGAAGTGGAGTTCTCTGAAATGGAAAACACTCTCTTCCATCTTGACAGATGTCATGTCGTAATACAAGAAGTGCTCCACTATATTTTTAAACTCCGTGCACCTTCACTAGGATAATTTTGATAATTTCAGCCCTGGAATTTTTGGTTTTGCAGAATATTCTTTGTCAAAACCTGCACAGTTTTGAACAGTAAGAACGAAATCAGATTATTCATGTTAGTTGTAACTTTCAGTATTCTGATAACTCCAAATATCAGATAATGATTGCAGGGTTCGTACGCTCATGGAAAAGTTGAGGAATTCAACTGGTTTTGGAAAAGTTATGGAATTTTAGAATACATCTGGGTTGAAAAAAATAAAGCAAAAAGTTTAAGCAAAAAATAAATTGGGGACAGCAGTTTAATTCAAGTGGGTTAGCTGTAAAATAGGTACAGTAGAGTGCATCATTTGCCCAACTTTTTGAAAAAAAAATTGAAAATCAATCTGTATCTAGTATCAATATTTTACACTTGCTAAAGTAAACTTCCGTGAGAAATTTCATAAAATTCTATTGTTTACTGGGTCCACCATCTGAAGTTTAGTGCCTGTGGAAGCCTTAAATCTGAGCTGAAAGACCTGTGTTTCTTTAATCTTTTAAACATCCTTAACCTTTCTGGAAACTTAGGTTTACCAAACCCTGAGCCGTACCTGTCATTGAGACACTATCAGTCTATGATCACTACAGAAAGAACAAACTTTTTGTCTCTTATTTCATCTTTGGCCTTTGTGGATATTGGATAACTATGAAACAAACCACAACATTTGGACAAAATTGTCCAAATCTTAGAAAGATATGGAGATAGAGATATAAAATTGGTACCAAAAGATGCACAATAGCAACATTTATATTCAACTTTCAGTGACACCATGGCCCTACATGCATTATTATTAAAGTTATTTGAGAAAAACTGATTTTTCTGCCAGAGCCTTATGGACACCTTTAGGATGGAACGTAAGAGTCTTGATGGACCCAGTAGATTTTATTCAGTTCAGCTAATATTCCACAGATTTTCTTTTATTTGGTATTGTCACATTTTAAAATTGGGTACAAGTAGTTTTCTGACATCGGAGCAAATGATGCACCTTACTTTACAATTATTATCCATCTCAATCAGCTAATAAAAGCACATAATTGATTGAAACATGTGAATCCAAGGTCGTGGAAACTGTTACGGAGAAATCATGGAAAAGTCATGGAAAACCTTAAGTTAACATCTGTACGAACCCTTGATTAGATTATGGGTGTCCAGGTAAAGCCTGTGTTTAGTATAGCTTTAGTAGTAGCTAATAATTGTTACAAATCTGTTCTTGATATTCTACTTGAAAAATGTTTAGTTTATTTCACCTGTTTGAGCTTGTTCCTTGCTCTTTCATGAATCATACCAATTAATTTTGCAGCTCTGACAGATGATTTTATTGCTGTCATTATTATTACGTTAAGTGTGTGCATTATACAAATAGATTAGACGTTATTTAAATCACACATTACTCAGTTTTGCTTTGCTCACACTCCTGGTTAGAATAGTTTTAGCCCCTAGGACATTTATTACTGCACAAACAACCAAATTCCCTTTGTTTCTGGAGTAAACCGTCAAATAAGTCCCTTTGCCTGGTTAAGAAATTCACCAGGAGGAAGACGGCATTGTCATACTATCGTAACTGCTTCAGCACTCTCTTAGAGCCTCACTCAGGTGTACCCAGGTGTGCTATAATGTACGTGATTGACTAAACGTAACAAGTCTGAGCGGCTGCATTTACTCCGAATAATTCTCCACCACTTGTACCTCTAAATTCTCCACTGACACTCTGGTAATTGGCTCTGCACGCTGTGTTAGCCATGCACAAAAAAATGAAAAAAACTTGCCCGCACGAATCCACACACATGTAACATCCAATCTTAATAAAAGGAAAGAAGAAATGAGGGGGGGGCGGTGGAGGTCGGCAGGAGGAGGTGGTCGCGCAGATGTTGCTACGGTAACAGCAGCAAGCCAAGGCCGCGAGCTGAAGAAGAGATGAGGAAGAAGGCATACGTTGAATTCAAATGCCTTGCGCTGTTGATCCCGTGTCATACCCAATTACCAGTGCGGAGAGGGGAGAGGTGGAGGCTCGTCCGGGAAAGGGGTGCTGTTGGGGGGGGAGAGTTGTTCTGAATACACAAAGAGGAGGAAGCGATTTGAACCTGTGCTGCGGTAAACACCCACGGCTGTCATTACACGGCGGCGAGGGGAAGGTTCTGCCAAATCTCTTTTTATCTGGTGCTCTGGAGAAATGTGAGCGAGTGCAAAGAGACTCTGTGCCGTGTGTATCAATCAGCCGGTGGAGCAAACATATTGTCCCTGCGCAATGAAGAAGCAACCAGTAGTAGCTTGATGTAGAAATAAAGTAATAAAATAAAGTACAGCATCTTGAACTTGACTGAACAGAGTGTGGAAGAGTGGACCTGCCGAGAGCTACAGGAAGTACATGAAGTGTTGCTATTAGTAACCCTTAATTACTACAGTTAAAATGTAGACTTCTGTTTCATAAAGACAAGATTGACAAGTGACTCCATGATGGGTATGAAGAAGTAAAATACTGTTGCAAAAAAAGTTTAGTCTTTAGTTTTTTACTAGATATTTTATTCATCTGAGAGGTGTTAGTAATATTCACTGAGCTAAACTGTTGGCATAGAAGCAATAAGAAAAAAAAAATCTACACACCATAGCTAAGCTTAAAGTTAAGGTACACTTGTCCCCCATTGGGAAATTTGTCCTCTGCATTTGACCCATCCTTCAAAACGTGATCTTGTTGCTAAGCTTTTTCAGAACTCCCTTAGCTGGAGGATTTTACTTTTCATTTGATTAACGTGTCTTTTTCTGTGACATAAAACCTGGTAGAAAAGCCCCAAAGGTCATCATTTGGACAGTGTCTTTGAAACTGAGATGTTTTGACTGCCAAAAACAAAAAAAACTTACTTTCCAAATGAAAAAGACTTCTCATTCGGAAGGTGCCGGTCTGTGGAGCCAGAGTTTTTATTGCCCTGAGGGGAGGGGAGCTAGTCTTGTCCTGCCCTAAAGGAGGACTTGTAACTTCAAACTTGCTTTGGACCTGTTTACTTGCTGGACTAGTTTTGAGTCTATCTTATTCAGGATTCCCACAGTCATGGAAATCCAAAATGTCATTTTCTAAGCCTGGAAAAGTCATGGAATTTTGTAAATTCAGTAAAAGCTACATCTTTCTATTAAGTTATCATTAGGCTATTATGATTATTTATGAACGTATGCACCTTAAATTTAAAAAGAGACGACAATAAATGCACTGACAGTATTTTGAATGTTAAAAACTATAATACCATATAGGGATGTAACGATATCCAATTTTCTTGATATGATATTTTCACAATATGCATCTCATGGTATATTTATTGAGATATTTTATGTAGGCTAACAAAATTGTGAATATGCTACTTTTCTCTCATCATAATCCAAATAATTAAGATTTCAAAGTGCTAAATAAACATTTCAGCATGTAGATTGGATTGAAACAGTGCAAAGGATCATGGTCTATGTAGTTCCTCCCATAACAATGAATTTAAGCAAATAATCTTGTGATTCAATATATTGTGATGGTCCACGATATTATTGTGAGACTTGACGATACGATATCACAATATTTTGGTTATTGTTACATCCCTAACACCAAATCATAAGGTGAGTGGAAAGGGTTAACATTTCATTTTTAGCCCTAAAAATATGATCAATTCTACACATGTGCGGTGCCGAAAATTTACTTTAGGTCATGAAAATGTCATGGAAAATTTGAAATTTTGTCAGTGAAAAAGAGTGGGAACCCTGCTTATTGTTCTCTTTCCCATTGTTTCCCTTTCCCCATGTGACTGGATTTTAGGTTTTGACCAAGAGTTAATTAAGGAAGCTATTGTAAACAGAAGACAAGTTGTATCTTCCACTATGCCACCTTTGCAACCTTTTCTGCCACGGACCACTTCTGGATGAACAAGGGATTCCATCAACATCAAACTTACCACACAAACTCACAAACTCAAGTGTCCAGAATCCCATGCTTTATTTTCCAACTCCTTACACGTGTATAATCTGATCCTATTTGTATACCTGCCTCTTCACACGTCACTTTTAAACACACACGCATGACTCGGGGGAAATCAGCGAGCCTGCCGTGCTATCTCTCCCCCCCATCTCACTTTCACCAATCCTGACATCCACTACCCCTTCCTCTCTCTGTCTCCTCCGTCTCGTCCCGCCCCGATTAAACACTTCCACCTCTCTAATGCCATCACAAGTCGTCTCTGCTTAACCCTAGCCGCGTGATGGACCATAGCGACGCTGGGCTAATCCCTCTGTAGTAGCCTGGATTAGTTCTCCCATTTATCTTTTCTGTGAGCATTACTGTCGCTTCCTCTCTCTTCTCCTCCATCCGCTCTTTCTTCGTCGGCTAATGCGCAGACTTCTGAGTGGCTTAATACCGTATAATGTGGTGACTAGTCTTTATCTGTCTATTGTGGTGATTGTTTCGCAGGAACAAAAGCACTGTCTGTATGCTCAACGTTTTGCCCAGCGGAATTGGCAGTGACAGGAAATGCGTCGCCGTGGGCAACCAGGTGTGCAGACAGGTAAGGAAGTGAGTGTAAAAATGGCTTATGCATTGTGATGAAGAGGGGAGAAACTGGAGCTAGAGTAAAAACTGTAATTACATTTAGATTGCAAATAAAAATAGTAATAAA